TCTCTCTCTACTCAACAGGTGTTAAGGACCCTCCATCCTTTTTAATGGTCTTGACATTCCCTTATGCAAACTATCCTTTCTTCTTCCATTTTACTGTCTGTTAGCCATTCCTGGTAACTCAGGTGTGGTAATATTAACTCAAGTGTAGAAATGACTGACAGTGAAATATTGGAGGCACTGTGAAGATGCTCAAGAAGACTAGATTTTTTTTATAAATCTGAATGAGACATTTAACCATAACAACTAAAAATGAATTAAACAATATCTATTGACTATTTTTGCCTAGTTTGTTGTATTTTTTTAATCTAGTATATTACCATTCCAATAGTTATAGTTGTTTTTGCTTTAATCTTAAACTGAACAATATAGTGCTAAACCCTACACGTCAGTAAAACATCTAGTTTTTCTTTAGCTGGAGAAAAATGTGTTATATGTGATGATGAACCCTTTTCAAAATCCTAGATCCACCCATGCCTGTTAGCAGGACTCTTTATATAATTTACATTAAGCAGTTACTGGTTAAAAAAAGAAATAATCCTGGCAGCAGGGACCAGTATCCAGGATTTTCCCAACCCAGGGAAGTCCCTCATCAGTGGCTTGCAGTGATTGCCTGAGGTCTCCAAAATAAAATCTGTAAAAATATGAGATTACATTAAATTGAAAAGATTCTGAAAGAACGGGTAACCTGCCTTATTGATCCCATGTGGGTGCTAACACAGCTGCCACTGGTGTCACTTTAAATATCAACATTATTAATCTTTTCTCCCTATTCATCCATGCAAGCAAGGAAAGAAAGAAGGATATTATTATCAAGATCCAAAGAGTCTATAGCAGAGGTGACCAAGATATGGCCCACAGACCAGATCCAGACCATACAGCCTTGTCATCTGGCCCATGGGACTCCTCACAAGTCCAGAAATTTTGCAGTGTTGTGAGCCATGACAACATTAATTGCCACAGCTCCTGGAGCCACAGCACTGAATGCTGCCACTGCTCATCCTGCCATCAAATTTCTGGACTCATGGGCCAGATCAGGAGCATACAGCCATGTCATTCAGCCCATAGGCCTGTCTCTGGGGTGGGAGAAGTGGCAGCAATTAATACTGTGGCCACCAAATTCCATCCTCATTGGCCAGATGATACAGCTTTGTGCTCTGGATCCAGCCTGAGGATATGCAGACCTGGATGAGTTGAGCACCATTGGCCTACGCCAGGGGCTGGCATTTATTTCAGGCGGAGGGCCGCTTACTGAGTTTTGGCAAGCCATCCAGGGCTAGATGACAGGCAGACAGGGGCAGATAAATACTGATTTTCAAAATTTTTTAGGGGCCTTGCAGGTTGGATAGAATGGCCTGCGGGGGCCACATGTGGCCCACGGGCTGCATTTTGCCCACCCCGGTCTATGGTAACCAGCAGCTCATTTTGGCAGCAATTTTGGCAGTATGAATGAGTTACTGTAACAGGGGCCAAGCCCCTATTACAGAGAATACAGAGAGACCAGAAAATGGGCCTGGTCCCTTTAAGACCAAGGCCTTTTGGACTAGCAAGGCCAGGTAGGTGTAGATGACAGTGGGTGCAGATGACAGGGGGAAATGCCCTGGAAAGATAAAACTCACCCTGCAAAGAGGCGTGGGGGCAGAAGGGTCTGACTGAGGAGATAGCTGGATGGCCTACTTAGAGGAGAGTAGACCCTGCCAGCTCCTGTAAGTCCTGTTAGAAGGGGGAGAAGTTTTGCTAGAGTTGTCTTTCGCTGCTGGTTTGATGAACTGTGTGTTGATCCTTGCAATAAGACTGTGTCCATCATCCCAAGGTGGGGAAGAAGTTTATGTTAGGTACCCTCCTTCTTTCCTTCCTTCCTTTCATTCGACAGACACCTGCTGGACTGAAAGTGACTGTAACGGGAGATGTGGAGGCTGCAGAACAGAGTGTTGCAGCACCCTGGCTAACCTAGTTCCCAGGAGGAAGGGGTTAGTTGCAGAAAACAGTCTGAGGGCCTGCTGCAGTAGTGCAAGACCTTTAAGTAAGGTGGCTGCAAAGTCCAAAATCTCAGGTTCCAGCTCCAGAAAAGTGAAAACCCTGCAGCAGCCCAGAGCCTGAAACCCTGAACTGAGAGTCAGAGACTGAGGAGCCAGGCTGCAAAACAGAAGGAGGATACAGGTGAAGCAACAGCCTAACCAGGAAACCCAGGATGCCACCTAGGAGGAGCCCTGACGGGGGACAAGATCTGGCCTCAAGAGTCCTCCCCTCTTCTGCTTCAAACAGTGGTAAGGCACCTTGCATATTAACTCTCTCCCCAAAAAGGTGTGGCAGGCCTGGGGTCTAGGAGGACTCTGAGTAGGGTGGGAAGGCAGGATGGATGGAGGGATCCCCTTTTCCCTTGGGTCCTGCCACAGTAACCTAAAGAAATTTCTCACTAATACTTTTTTGCTTAGTCAAGAAGAATCCAAGCCCATGCAGATCATTTGAGGCTCACAAAAAGAAAAAGCCTGAGAAGCCCAGAAAACAGCCCAGGAAAGTATCCCAAAGTTTGTAGAATTTGTGGATCATGCACAATTTTATGTTGAACATCAGCACAAATGGGTGGATCTTACAAGAATAACACTATCTACCATTTTTTCCCTTAAAACCTGCTGCTACATGGCTGTGGCAAGACCTCTACTCTAACATACTGCATTCGGTTCTCGTATTGATACTTTATAAAGAATGTCAAAAGTGGAAAAGGTTAAAAAGAGTCACAGGAATGAGTCAGGGTCTAGAAACCACATCTTAGAATGAAAACACAATGACCCAATCTATATAGCTAACTGAAAAAAAGTGAAGCGGTTCTTTGACATGACCTCTAAGTACCTATGCAAATGACTTTTAAATAAAAAGAGATGCTTTTTAATACAGATCAAGGTACAACAGCTGAAAGCCGAACAAAGAAAAATCCCAACTTGAAATAAAGCAGGCCTTTTTTCAACAATAAAGGTAATTCTCAACTATTAGATCCTCCCCAAGGCAGACACCCTAAAATCTGTAGGAGACAAAGGGGCCCTACCTTTCCTATCTAGCTGGTCTCCAGTCACCATCTCCTTATGGCCCATTAACCACTGCTCTTTCTGCATGTCTCTCTAGCTACCCTTAAAAAACAAGCTTTCCCAAAGTGTAAAACTGTGTAGATAATTCAGTTTCAAACTTGTGCTGGTGTCTACATTTGATTAGGAAATAGAGTCCGTGGGCAAAAAACCAGCCAGTTCCACTGCCCCTTGCTCCCACCAACTTCAGAGTTGGGTTATCTGAGATCCCTCAAAGATTACTTTTGTGAATTGTGAAGTAAAGGAGGGAGTATGTTGCAGAGATGGAACGCCCCTGAAAGGGGCCTTTGGAAATCAGGAGAGCAGGGGAAATAAATTTATATTTTTATAGGTTAAAAATTCATAGCCCAGGGGCAACCCAGTGCACCATGATGGATTAAAGTCCACTCAAAGTTTGTTTCCATGAGAGTGCAGAGACATATGTTACATTCTGGGGAAAAGCTAATATTTTGTACTGTGAACACTTGTGAGTCTCACCAAAAGAAGGGTTCACAGGTATTGATAAACCCTAGAGGGTGTCTTATCTCTGTCATGAACATGGGGGATTGCCATTAGGGATTTCAAGTGATAAGAGGAATTAACAGTGGGGAAAGGAGATGTGGAAGGAGCTATATCCTCCCATACAGAAAGACAATAACTGCATTAACAAGGCGGCAAGCTATTGTGCCTTAATAAATGGCAGTAGTAGAATTCTATCCAGAGGCTTGATAACATTATCTATTAGAAGACATATTCTTTCTTTCTTTCTTTCTTTCTTTCTTTCTTTCTCTATTCCCTCCCTGACAGACTTTTGCCATCTTGCATGGTTGACTATTTGGGATACTTTTAGAAGTCATTTTCTTTCTTCGTATTAAGAGAAATTATAGGTTAAGATAAATTACCGGGTGTAAGTGTCTGAAGCCTAACTCATGTCAGCCCTTTCCACTGCATCACTGCTACAATATTAGGCTGGAATTCTTTGGTCTATTTACATTCTGTAGCATCCGAATGTACGAAAAGTGTTGTACTTTGTATCCATGCTAGCATGAGCAACCATATGTTGTGCCACTCAATAATACATACAGAGGCTTTATGCTGTCTGCTGACCCATGGGGATTCCCAGCAACAGAAGGCCATAACTATAACAACATCATACTGAGAAAGGTATTAAAATTCACTAATCATAGGAAAAAGGGTTCTCTCTCATCCTAAACTCTCCCTGCTGTGCAAAGAGCTATTTTCCAAACAGAAGTCTCATTCTCCTGGCTTTGGTGGATTTTAGAAAGCTTGCAGTTGCACAAGAAATCAAGCACAGGGAACTATTTTTGCTGTAAACTCTCCAGGGCTGCAGCACAAATGAGTTGTTGGAAGAATCACTCCATCTCCTCCCCACCACACCCAGCGGAGCAGATGGCACCTGTTCTGATGGGGCGGGCACATGAACAGACCTTGCTGTGGACTCGGATGGGAACAGGGGGCACCGTGTTGAAAACAATGACGGGGTTCACGATGCCCCCCCACACCTCGTTTGATCCGTGGGCCAGAGAGAGACGGACTTTAGAGCTGGAAATGTCCTGACCCATCCCTCTGCGGGTGAAGAAAACAGAACGTGTCCAGCTTGATCCCCCACCCCAGGCGCTGCAGGGACGCAGGAGCCCCCCGAGAGCCTGGCCACAGCTGGGTCCATGCATCCTTCCCCACCAGGCACCACCGCAGCGAGGTCCCAAGCTTTCCCCGGGGGGGGGGGGGGGTTGGCTGCCTGCCTCTGGCTCTCCCTCCCCGCTGGCTAGATGCTGTCATACAACCAAGGGAATGATCGAAGGGAGAGATCAGGTTTCAGCTCCTTTCCTCCAGGACCTGCTGCCGCTGCAACACGCATCATCCCTGGTCTCGGAGCCCTGCATCCCCGGAGCGCCAGCATCCTTGCCCCCGCCCGGGCTTTACCTGGCCGTGCCGCCGGGCACCTGCAGAAGGAGCTTCGGGCCTCTGGGGCCGGGGCTGCAGGGAGGGGGTGGAAGGAGCCCGGTGCTCACGGAGCAGCTGGATCCCAAATGGCTGCTGCTGTGCGGTGCCTGCGACTGCAGCCGGATCTCTGCCGCGGTGCGGGAATGTGCTGTCTCACGCTGGACAGGCTCCTCCCGAGCAGAGCCGCTCCCGCCTCCTCCTCGCCCCTGGCACTGACATCGCTGCCCTTCCCGCCTCCTCCAGCCCGGCCCGCTCGCGGGCGGGGGGGCGGTGCAGGAGCAGGTGCCCCCAGGGCCCGGGCGTCTGGACTCGGGGCCCTAGCGGGGTGGCATTCGCGTGAAGGGCTGGGCAACTCCACAAGGGACCTCGTGGGCATTTGGCTTTTGCAAGTGCGTGGCCCACATCACGTCCTGCCTGCAGCTGGCTTGAAAAGGCCGAATCAAGGTTGTGATGGTGCCAAGTGGTCGGAGCGGGGTGCGGGGTTATCATCAGCAGGGATCCTGGTTTTCTCTGATTTAAAAAAAAAAAATCCCTCGTTTTGGGATTTAAAAAAGTAACCCAACATTCATTTTAATCATGGGAAAATGTGGGTTTTGGGTTACTTTTTTCAATCGGAAGATTAAGGATTTTTTTTTTTTTAATCAGAGAAAACCAGGATCCCTGATCATCAGCCTCACCTCGGCCATGACTCATTCTGGCTTCTTGTGCCCACGCTGGTTGTGGCCCACACCTGCTCTGCCTCCCCCCCATAGCTCGATCCATTTGGGCCCCACATCTCTTCACAGTGCCACAGCAAGCAGGAGGCAAGTGGGGCAACTGCCCCAAGGCACCAAAGCAAAGGGGGCACCAACAGGGTGCTGCCTAACCGGGTCGGGATGTGAAACAGACCCAGAAGGGGCTCACTTGGGGGGCGCGGGAACAGGGAAAGGGTGGCTGCTGCCACTGTGTGCATGCCCGGCAAGCACGGGGAGGAGCGCACATGCCCTCCCAGATCTGTGCACAGGGTGAGGGTGGGCTACCGCTGCGGGCTTTGCCCTGGGCACCAAACTGGGGCTTCGGCACTGTCTCTTCAGCTCCACAGCCCCAGCTTCACATCTGACCACTCGCCACCCCCACCACCCCCTGCCAACGCCAGCTCTCCACCCCCCACCCCACTGCTGACACCGGGGCTGCTGGCTTCTTCAGCCGCTCAGGGAGCCCCAAAACTATTTCTTGCAGGGGACCCCAAAAAATTGTGAGCCGGCTCTGTCTTCACCCACCTCTCCCAGGCCAAGGGGGAGTACTACACTAGGACCTTCTCCCTTTTCTCACTCCAAGTTTTGGAGGGAAAGAGGAGGGAAGGGGATAAAGCAGCCCTCTCAGTGTTTATAGAACAGGAGAGACAGGAGGGTAGCCCTGCACTAGGTGGGATTTTTTGCTCTCTCCTCCCCAATTACCTCTAGTGAAAATAAGTTCCCAAGGGGAAGGGAAAGATTTGTGTCCACCTCTGCAGCAGCCCTGATTTGTTGGTCTTTCCCAAGGACTAGGCAAGTGAGAACAGTAGCCAGGGTTTTTTCCCTTGACCATAATAAAAACATACAGCAGTCAGCAACTCTACTTCCTGTTTAGAAACTTTATTTCCCAGAACTAGAACCCACTGCTATAAGGCAAACTTTAAGTATTGGTCTGTGACAAGCTATACTTTAGTCCAGAGCAGAGCAATTATTTTGGGTGGAGGGCCACTTACTGAGTTTTGGCAAGCCATTGAGGGGCGCATGACAGGCAGCCAGGGGCAGATAAATATTAATTTTCTAAAATTTTTAGGGGATCTGCAGGCTGGATAGAATGGCCTGGCAGGCCACATCTGGCCTGTGCGCCACATTTTATCCACCCCTGCTTTAATCTATGGTAGATAATACAGATATGCACCATTTTGAGACAGGTGTCTCAGACCACATTCAGTCTGCTTCACTGGGAAGCTCCACATGGTGTCAATGGCACCTAATATTATCAGCCACTCTGCTCAGAGGAATGTCCCTCTTCTAAACTATAACACCCAAAGGCATCAGAGATTCACATGACGTCCAGCTGATGTCAAACTGACCTGGGTTGCAACAAATAATAGATTTGGCCATGAAAACAAAAAGCTTTGAGGAAGAGTTGATACGCTGTAGGTCAGCTGCAGTTAAAGGCATATGATGAAACAGTGCTCCCCAATTAATCTGAAGGTTAAATAGCAAATATCCAGCTCCATGTGGATTCATTCCTTTTTTCCGTATTCCTTAAAGTTTACTAGCAAAGCCATAGTAGCCATGCAGGATAGAACACCTAGAAAGAGACTTTGGGCCATGGTTTTTAACATTAATTAGTGATTTGGGAGATAATGATTTGTTGAGCCTCCATTTTTATATGCCTAACTTGGGTCACGTTCTGAATATTTGCCCTTGCAAAGTTAGGCACCCAAAAACAGAGTTTTCCAAAATCAGTATTGTTAAAATCTTTCCTTTAATCTTAATTTCAGATTTGGAATAAATCTTCATGGTTTATTACTTGTCCTGTACCGTTTGTACACAGGACTGGAATGGACTACCTGGGCTATTGAGTCAATCCCCTTGTAATAATGGGCAACCATGCAATAGACACAGACTCCAAAAAAGTCCATAAGAATATCCATTCTTACTTCCCCATTACCACTGTGAGCCACAAGTCACACACAACACTCTGTGATAACCTTTGGCTCTTTAGCATCAAAAAACCAGAGCTCAACAATTTTTTACCCTATGGCTGTGATCCAGGTTCGGTATTTAACCACCTTTGTTCCAAAGCATAATTCAAACTGGTTTTTCACTAGTCCCTCCCACAAAACTCACTTAACACTTCTACTGTGGGCTGAAAATTTCCCTGTGAGTCTACACTAGGGTTTCTCTGCATGCATAGAGACATGATTCTACCACACCTAACGGCTGAATAAGCAATCTAGTGATTCAAATTGCCGCTGAGAGGCAACTGCACTCACCCTAAATCCTTGGAAAGACCACTACTGATAACAGGAAGACCCATAACTAATTTGCATCCATGTTACTGAGTTCAATTTAAAAAAAATGACAGGAAGTGTGATGCCCACTTTCTGTCTCATAGCCTGGTAGAACAATACAGGAAACAGGCTGGCACCCACGACTCCTCTCCAAGAGACGTGGCACAGCTGGTTGGCTACAGAGCCAGGTTTCCACTTGCTGATTCCAAACATTGTTTATGCATTCTGCATTGGACATTATATAGCTGGCACAGGAAGCCCGCTCCCCAGCCAGCTCCCACCTGGCAGGGCTAGACACTGGCCAGCGGGGCCCCTTTGGTGAGGCAGGGACCAGGGTTAGCCCCCTCCCTCCAGCAGCCAGCGGAGGGGACAGGAGGGGGCTTATTCTGCTGCTTGGTGGCAGATGGAGCAGCTAGACCTGGCTGCAGTCCCCCACGGACAGTGGGGTAGAGGGGAGAGTAACCCCCCCTCAGTAGCCATGCTGGCCTGCCGCTACAGCAATGCAGGGGGGCACCCAGAAAATCTGATTTGAGCCTCTGCTGATGGGACAGGAAGGGGGGAATGAAACCCCTCTCTGGCCAGACCCCTGGATCAGAGAGCCCAGCCCAGAGAGCATGTTGGCATGCTGGGGGACTCTGGTTTAACTTAAATCAGGAAGGGGTCTGGGACAGACATTGCATAAACTGGTTTAAGCCAAGTCAGTTAAGTCTGATATTACATCCAGCCAGGTTTATCTCAAACCGGTTTCAGCCATTTTAAAACTGGTTTATGTGCACTGAATATCTGTTCTGTTACAGGTTTAAAACAGTTTCTGATCACTTAAACTGGTTTATGTGTAATGTCTCAGAACTACTGGTGCAGTCATGAACGTTGGATGCCTCCTGAGGCTGAGTGGGCACAGCGAGCTCCCACAGGTGACGGTGGCAGTGGCAAGGAGGAGGATGTGGCGAGCACCAACCGGAGATTGGTGACCACCTGCGGACGCTGTCAGCAGTGGCGGCAGCGATGGGGGGTGGTAAGCGATGACCATCCGCAGGCACCAACAGCAGCGCCAGCAGCAGCCAATCTAAGGGAGTGCCCTGCCAATCTTAGGGGGTGCATGTGCACCCACATGCACCCCCTATACATCGCCAATGGGTGCAGTTAGGGTTGCCAACTCTGTTTGAATCTATTCCTGAAGGTTTCATCACATGACGTAATGACATTAATGACTGATCTGCTGTACTCTAAATCTCATTCACTACAGAGCTATCATTTTGCCTTCAGTGGAAATAAGGAGTGTCATATGAATCATAATTCACATTTTAAGCCTACTGCATAAATAAACAACACACAATGCAAACCTGCCCATGTGCTTGTGTATTACAGATTATGGTGCATAGACATTACATCAGGAAGGCAAATGCACATTTTAAAAACCCACTGAACTACTGTATAAATCAGATCCAACATTTAATATTTATTTTAATAAATACCCTATCAATTTTCTCCCTGGTGACTCTCAGCAGTCTCCTAGAGATTTATATCTAATTCCTGGAGACTCCAGGGCAATCCTGGAGGGTTGGCAACCATGGATGCCATAGTTCTCAACCTTTTTTAGACTCCAGGCACAACTCAGAAATTGACAGCTCTGAGTTTCCACTCATTTTTTGACTATGGAAAAATGATAAAACAATTTTTCTGTTGCAAAGAACTCAGAAAGACCATAACAGGTCAGAATGGTTTTGACACTATGGATTCCTATTTGAAATCTCTGTGTTAGACTGTGAAGGTGTTTGTAGTCTATGGCTGTTTGTAAATTGAGTAGTGATATGCACCATGTCATACTCTACTGAACATACCACTTGACAGTTTCTAAGTGAAACACTTTCAAATTGAGAAAAAGATACCATTAAGCCATGATACCCACTGCTGTACCATTATATTGTTGTTGTTATGGTATCATCAAAGTTGTGTTTAGCATTTTTTTAACACAGAATCTTCAAAAGACAAATCTTTTTTTAAAAGGCAGTATTTAGTAACACTTAACTGACTACATAAGAGGATGCAGTATACATACATCATAAATACCATTACTTATAAATTACATGTTATGCTATGTTATATTAGCATAAATAATTAGATTTAAAAGCTTACAGAGTCCTAAATTTTTATTACAAAGTAATTAAA